TGTATTTGATTAAAAAGGTTGTTAGAGAAGAAGTCTAAGAGTTTAAAAGAAAAGAAGTTTCAAATCAGAAGAAAGCGATTGAAATGTTCAAGATTGGAACAGTTCAATAAATCAAGACGTTACTTGTATTTCGGATCTCCAAGGATCAACTAAATCAAGATTTACTTGATCTTCTAATGTTTTAAATCTTGAGACATGTTCTTCTTTTATCTAGCTTTATTTAACTTTTCAAGATTTACCACAACACATAACCATTCATCACCCCTCTCTGTGTGTGATCTAATTCTTAACTTTCTCTCTCTATATATATATTTTATATAATTCTTTATAAAATAATATTTATATTCTATTTTTATATGACATATCGGACGCGATATCCCAGCTCGGGATACTTGCGCCTAAATACATTTTTGTAGATTATATACAATTCATTTTATACAATTTGATAACCTGACTAAAAGCATAATTCAAACTTAAACAATGGTATTCTAAAACAGAAGAGAAAATTCTAAATGTACCATTTTAGCAACTTATATACAATTCATTTTATACAATTTAATAAATGGACTAAAAACATAATTGAAACTTAAACGATGCTATTCTAAAACAGACGAGAAAACCCTAAATGGACCATTTTAGCAACTTATATACAATTCATTTTATACAATTTAATAAACGGACTAAAAACATAATTGAAACTTAAACGATGCTATTCTAAAACAGACGAGAAAACCCAAAATGGACCATTTTAGCAACTTATATACAATTCATTTTATACAATTTAATAACCGGACTAAAAACATAATTTAAACTTAAACGATGGTATTCTAAAACAGATGAGAAAATCGAAAATGGACCATTTTAGCAACTTATATACAATTCATTATATACAACTCAATAACCGACTAAAATCACAATTAAAACTGAAACGATGGTTTTCTTAAACAGAAGAGAAAATCTAAAATTAATTATTTTAGCAACCTATATACAATTCATTATATAAAACTCAATAATCGACTATAAATATATAAAAATATATATAAAAATGCATATATTGGATCAAAATATCATTTCTTTTACCAATATTTCAGTTGGCTGAACGCCAACCTTTATCAAGGTGTTATAACATTTTAATGTGTGTCAACAACAAACTCAGCGCCACATAACGTCAACAGAATTAAGTTTTAAATTATTTTTGCTTATACTCGTATTCAAAGGGGACAAAAAATATATATATTCAACAAACAATACTCTAACATACTTTGTATTTATTTATGTAATTTATTTAATTATTCTATGATTTTTCTTCATAGTTTAGGCAGTCAGCAACACTGTACTTTATTTTCCTTCCAAATTTGCATACATTATTTTTTGGTTTATATGTTAGGATTAACCTTGTTGTAATTCCAATTTTTTTCCAAAAAAATATTAATATCTAAGTTAATTTTTTTTTATAATTAAGCTTTCATTATTTTTGAAAATAGAGCAATATATAAATACATCTTTAAATAAAAAGGCATATAATGTATCAAAATATCATATATTTTACCAATATTTCAGTTGGCTGAACGCCAACCTTTATCAAGGTATTATAACATATTTATTGTGTGTCAATTTGATTTGATTTGATCCAATTATAATTAAATATTTTATTATGTAAATATAAATTTCATTTTTTTTTGTCAATATCATTATTATCTTATAAATAAAAAGAGAAAATATATTGGCATATATACCATACAGATGGAATCAATAACGCTTGTGATAATTGTTATGTTAAATTTGATTTCTCTTAATGAAAAAAAGAGGAAATCATTGTTTTTTTTCGAATATTAAAAATTTTAGTTAGAGAATAATTCATAAATTAGTGAATGATTGTTAAATATTATTTACTTTAAAAAATATGACTTGTTTATACAAGCTTGTAACAAATTATATAATTAATTATATTCAATTAATACCTTGATAAAGGTTGGCGTTCAGTGAACTGAAATATTGGTAAAAAAATTGATATTTTGATCCAATTTATTCCTTTTTATTCAACGATTTATTTATGGATTGCTCTATTTTCAAAATTAATTATATATTTATTGAAATGAAGAATTAATGATTGTTTTATAAAGGAAATTAATTTGTGATTTTATCTTCAATAATTAGTAAAAAATATATAATGAAAATTTTTTTGGTGAAAAGAAGATTTCGGAAGTTGGAAAGAAAAGAGATTTATTTCACTTGGTTAGTTCGAGAGAAGTGATCTATTATCATTACCCTAAGTAATTGACCAATGAATGCCAAGTTCGCCTAAACTCTCATCTGATTGGTCCTCAAGACATAATGATTCCTTGTCCAATCATGAGGAAAATAATTCTTGCCGTTTTTTTTATCCAATGTAAGATAGATTTGTAGATAGCCAATCAGAATCGAGTCATAAAATTGATAGAAAGATAAAATGACGATTTTACGTTGGGGTTAGGAGAATTCACCAATACATGGAGAATAAAAAATATTTACGAACATTTTTTTCATCTTGTTTTTTTTAATTTAATTTTATTTTTTCTGGAGTCGATGAAAGAGTGTGATATAAACCGTTGATTTTCGACGGTCAGGACCCTGGATCGAATCCAGTATTAAACATTTTTTTCTAAAGAAAGAAATCCTTCAATGGCGCATCCAATTATTCCAAAAGTCCATTTCCACCAATGAATACAAGTAAACAAAGGGTGTTCTGGATAACTTGTGAGTGAAGTGTTTTGCAATAATTATTATCATTTCTTATATTTGAAAATACTTATGTATAACCATGGTATACAGTTTGGAAATTTGTTAAAATTCTCCAAAATTGGTGTTATGATCTTTTTTTTTTATCACCACCTATGTTTTTTTTTATTGAGGTGATAAACAAAGTCATTGTTATTAATTATAATTCATTTAATACATATAATTCATTTTTGTAAAGTGTTTATTTTTTATTTGTATTTGGACATTCTGAATTTGTCAAACTAGCTGTTATTTGACACCGACCCTAGTCCGATAGTTTACAGTGTTGAAATTTAGTTGGAGATATGTAGTTGAGTTTCAGCATCTATTTTTAACGCATAAGATAATCTTTCTATTTCTGAATAGTATTTTGTTAATAATATATATAGTTCAATGATCGGAGTAGTTAAAAATGTAAAATAATTCCACAAAAAAATCACATAATATCATTTCAAAAAGTAAAAGGCAATTACTATTTATTGATTTTGGCTTAAAAAAGCTATTTTTTATTAAAAATCAAATTATTGACTTTTATATTGAAAATATGGTATTAGCGAAAAATAATATCGTACCTAACGCTATCTTTATTATTTTATACTCATAGACAAGAAGTAAGAAGTGGAAAACATTTGATGTCACCAGTCGTATGTTTTTTTTTTAAGGAGACAGAGGCAATTTTGTTCACACTTGGTTATCTCGTATCTTCAATAAAGGTCACTGTATACCAAATATTTACAGAGTTATTGTCCCGATATACATTCTAAAAATTACAAATTTCTTAGGTTTTGTCCATGAGTGTATAATTTATTCTTTGAAAGTTAATATCTATAAAATAACATATTTACACATCACCAAAGGTAGATATATAAATAGATAAACGGAACCAATCAGGTAGAGGGTGGCCAAGTGGTGGGAAAACGACAGGCCGTTGGAGTAAGATTTGTTCCCCAGTAAAGCCATGTAATCCTTTTTGCATATAACCTCGCCTAGAGATCAACTCTGATTTGAGATTGAATTCTGTTGGGTTTTTTGTCTATTTTCTAGATTGAAGGTTTTTAGAATGGATTTTGTCGTTTATACGCTTGAGCTTCGCTAAATATAAATAACGCATAAATATATTTTATAATATAGATATAGTTTTAGAGTATTTATTATATATAATAATATATATGGAGATACACCTCTAATGAAATTAACTTATATTTTATTTTTATAAATAATATATGTAAATATATTTGCATATATTCATTTATAATATTGCATATTATTGATTACGAATAGATATATTGGCGGAGAGAAATAATAAAATATGTAATTTAAGAAATATCTTTGGTCTCTCAAAATACACGCTAAAAATAAAAGTTGCATAGCATATATTCTGATTGAAAAGGGATCTTTCATTTATATGATGGATCATAAATTTTGATATTGATGTGATGTTTTATATATTCATTATATTTAAATATTTATATAAATACATATTTGGCTTACCTTATGCAACTCTAATATAAAATATAACGTGAAATATTATATGTTGTTGGTCATTTTGAACATCGTTTGGTATTCTATGTAGAATTCGGTATAACGAAATTCAGCTACCTGCTCTTTTTGTTTGTTAGTGTCTATCAAGTCGATCTTTGGTGACTATATGGACAAATATTCTCCAATTTGAT